TTATCGGACAACTTGTACACCAAACCATTTATGCCTCCTGCTCGAGAGCTTCAGATCTCGACTGCCGCATGCCTGAAGGTGGTCATCCGGGAATGTGCGCCCAGGACGGGGGAGTGGAAAGAGCGTGTATTGTATGGATTACTCAAAGCGTGGGTCGAGGTGAGCGGGATCTTTAACAAGGATCAAGGTAAACGTTCACCGACTGCCGGGTAATGTGATAGGGACTCATAAAATGACAGATACGCTTACGCTGCTGGCTTCGCTCAAGGAAGTTTGGGACGAACTGCTTGTTGCGTGTCCCACGATCCCGCAGGTGAGCAGCACCCAGAGGCGTTCTTCATCCTCTGACGGGTAACGACAGGTTGAAGCTGCGCAATTGCAGACTTTGGACAAGAGGATGTTCCAGGCGCTTGTCACTGCTTGATATCCCTCTCGTTCGTGTAGCGTTATCGAGTGTATTATTATGCTGTATGCTGTATTGATACTCTATACGATATCCTTGTGTGCGACCAGTGTGTTGATGATGCTACTCGTCGCTGTGCCAAACGTAACGTTATTACTCAACACGACGGAATTGATATCCGACACTCCACATCTTCTCACACTTCCAATATTGCCTGATCATCCCCACCCAACTTCGGCTGGTGTTGATCAGCGGTCATGCCCTGGATTGCTGGTCCTCCTAGGCAGACATCTCCTAACCTGCTTGAGAACCTCCCAATTCCTCCCCTCATCCCAGGTAGGACACACCCTGCAGACCAATCTCCCGTCTCCTATCATCCAGACTCCCATTAAGCTCTCACCAGGCACAAGACGAACCCAACCATCAGCGCTGGAAAAACACATCTGTATTCCTCATACATGCGTGCATCTACCGCTCTACCGCTCCGCTCTGCCCTTGCATGACTTCCCGCACCCGGCGCTCCACCCACCGCTCGCTCCACGACATCCCAGCCCAGCTGAGCCGAGTTGAGCCAAGCTGATCCTCGCTCTTCTGTTCCGTTCATCGGCCTCCCCGAAGGGCGAGCACAAGATGAAGCGTGCTCCCGGCAGTGATATTCAGTTCTCGAGCAGTCTTGTCGTCCGCCCTAGCAAGAATCACAAATTACAGTCAATCATCACTTCTCGCACAAAAAGGTGCGTGGGGGCGTACATCTGCCGACCGGCGAAGATCAGCCGTTGTTGGGGTGGGGGAACCCCGGACTGCTCTTCGACTTTCTCTTTGATCCTCGATATCTGTATCGGGTTAGCATGCACGGTATACATGGCATAGTGCATGGGGGAGGGGGCGCACGTAGTCGTCTGCGTCGATATCGATCTCGATCTGGGGAAGTTAGCTTGCTGGTTGGGATAGGAAGGGAGCACGAACCTCTTTCCCCGTGAGCGTCTACTCCTAGGGTCAGTGACTGCTCGTCAGTGTGTGATGGTGAGAATGGACATACCTTTACTTTGATCAACATCTTCTATACTTGGAACAACTGAACAAGATGGAAGGGAAGGAAGTGGTATGGGAAAGAGGAAGGAGATGAAGTGCTGGATGGTGGATGGTGGATGGTGGATGATTGCACGCGGAATGGGCGTGCTATTGGTCCCGCTTTATGACTGACTGGGATGTATTGTGAAGGAAATATCGCACAAGAATTGTCTACTATTATTACAATGGGAAATGAACAATTATATTATCCAACAATCAGCGCTAATCAGCATCAATCAGCATCAGAGTGACAGAGAGTAACAGTATTAGAGCAGTAATATCAATCACGTGAATCCTTACGAGGACTGCGACTCTTACTCAGACTTGTGCTGTCCCTCCTCACAGGCGAATAACTCGGACTTCTCCTCCTCTTCCTCCCTCCATCTCTCTCCCTCTCCCTGCTCTGATCACGACGATCACGCCGGTCATCGTCCATGTCCACGTCGTCCCTCTCTCGGCGAGGCAACGGTGCCCGTCGTCCATACGCTGGCTCCCGATCCCTCTCCCGCTCTCGTTCTCGTTCTCGGTCCCTCCCATAGTCCAGCTCTCGAGTAGGCGAAATCCCGTGCTCTCGCTCTGTATCGCGTTCTTTCCCAGGACGACCAAAGTCTGTATCGCGTTCCGGTTCCCTCCCGTAGTCGGCTCTGTCGCGGGGTCGTTCCTCCCTCTCCCTCTCCCGCTCAAACTCCCGATCCCCACGCCGTCCCATGCGCCTTTCATCCTCCTTCCCAACCCCTCTGCCCACGCCTCTCCCCACAGCAGCACCAGGTCCCCCCCTCCCACCTCTCCAGCTCGCCTGATCTGCTCCCCTTCCCCCTCCCAGCCCTGCCCAAGGCTCTGCACCCCTAACGCCCTGCACCATCCCCGTCCCTCTTCCGGCACCGCGTCCCACTCCTCCTGATGCTTGACGCCCGGTGTGGGGGGTGAGGACAGCTACGCTGAGTATGTCCCCTGGGACGACCCTGAGCTCCTCGAGGGTGCGGTCATCTGGGGTCAGATTCAGGCGCTTCTCCCTCGCAGCACTCGACGGTTCCTCCCCCTCCTTCTCCTTCTCTCCTTCCTCGGTTTTCCAGCTTCCCAGCTCGCGAGCATGTACGAACCCCAACTCCCTGCTCCCCACCCTACCCCTCTGATCGGGGAACACAACTCTAAAGCTCCACCTCGCCAGTGCGCTCTTCCCCGCTCCCTCAGCCACCGCACCCCTGAGCAGTAGAGCAAGCTCCTTAAGCGTCGTATCCCTCCATGTATAGAGCGCGTATTCGTCAGAGGGAGGAGGGAGGGAGGCGTCGAATAGTGTCAGAGGGTGGAATGAGCCTTGGCGTACGAAAGTGCGGAGAAGGAAGGGACATGTCTACATGCATGCATTAGCACATATAATAGTTATGATATATGAACTTACTTTTTCTCTGTCTACTGTTGGTTTAGAAGTCTTTATATCTGCCATGGTGTAAGTAGATGATGAACAGCGATGAGAGATGAGTGTTGAATATATGCACAAGAGAGTTGAGAGTTGAATATATGCACAAGAAACGCCCATTGTAAATGCCTCCGATATAAAAATAGCACAGCCACTAAGACGCGTCGTTCGCCACCCAATATACAACACGTCCCTTTACACAAGCGCTCAGTTGGACTCTGTTGCTAAATACACTTGGGCATATGGGATGGCACTCCCTCTTCCCCTCATCAATGTCATCCCTCCATCAGCGACGACCACTTCGGCGGGGGGGACGGGAACGTTGTCTACTCCTACCGCTGCTGCCCTTTCTGCACCAACTACAGGCACGACCCCAAGCACGACGAGCGAGGAGGACCGGCTAGCAGATCTGTGAGCACCTCGTATTCATACCCTAGTTCATCACTTACGATATGTAGAACGTACGGTGACATACTCGCCCTCCTTACCGACCCTCTGGCCAGTACGATCACCTATGCTTCCCTTTCCTCACTCCTCCTCGCCAGGCTTCCCGTATTCCTCAACCCTTCGCATCCCTTTGGCTCTCCTTCCCCCTCCTCCCGATCCGCAGTCTCCAAACTAAAACTCCGAGGCCAACCTCTTACAGAAGAAGAAAACGACTTCATCCTCCAGTTCTGCACCAACTGGGAGGTGGACGAACTCCAATGTGCCCATCTCTGGAGATCCTACACTTTGGCGTACAGCCTGCCCCCGCTGCAGCGGCTTCCGGGAAAAGACGCCCGCATAGCAGAAGAACAGCAGCACACGCACGCATTACTTCGCTTCCTACTCGAAGAGCGGCTCAACGTTCTCCGCGTGCTTGCCGCTCTCCTCCGCGCGGCGGGGAACGACGCTGACCCTATGTACCCGGTGGCGAGGGACGTCTACCAAAAGATCTTCATCCCGTATGACGAGTACCTGCAGAAGCTTCTCTCGGGGTTTCAAGACCGGTGTGCAAAGCCTCTCCCCACTGTTCTCCAAGCGAGGGAACATCGGTCCCTCGCCCCAGAGCTAGCGAGGCACATCGTACAAGAGCAGATCGCCCTGCTCGAACTCCTCTTCCTGGCAAACTACACCCAGCCCCCCTCGGCCAGCATCACCCAATCCATCCTCTCCTCCCTCTATTCCACCCAGCTCGGCACAGCCCACTCCCTCCACGCGCACCTGATGGACGACCCCGGGCTCGCGCATACCAAATCGCTCAAAATCGCCTCCCTCCTCCTCGGCCTCAGCGTGCTGAACCTCGACTCCCTCTGGGGGCTAGACCTCGTCCTCTCCGAACAGTCCGGCACCTCCCTCCTGACAAACCCAGACACCCTCCTCCAAATCCACGAAACCCTGCTCCAGACCCCCTCGGACAGCGCCTACGCACCCATCGTCCTCGCCTGGTCGGTCCTCCTCCACTCCCTCACAGAAAGCATGCTCGCGGCAGAAGAGATACCCCAGATCTGGCTGCCATTAGTCCGCGCAATCGCCCCCGACGCGGAGAAGGGACCGGCCATCCTCCTCCCCGACAGGCGCATGGCCTTCGAAGAGTTCGCTAGTGTCGCTCTGGACCCGGGAATGAACCTCTTCCCAATGATAGAGGACATTCTCACTCTCCCGCCGTTTGACTCCTCTTCTCCCGGAGCAGCTTTCCTCTCCGCGCCAAACACGCTTGCCTACCGCAGCGTACTCAAATCTCTCCTCCTGTCCATCCCTACGCTCATCCAACTCCCCTTCCTCGCGTCGCTCGACGCCTACCTCTCTGCCTTCTGCGCACTCCTCCACGGTCCGGGGGAAGAAGTGAGCCAACTAGCCCTCCAGTTCTGGACCGAAGACTCCCAAGACCCTCTCAGGTCGTCTATCCTCCGCGTCCCAGCCACAAGGGCCCCGCTGAGTTTCTCACCCCTGCTCAAGCTCCTCACCCCTCTCTGCGGGAACGGCGCCCCCCCGTCCCCAGGGCTGTCAGTCGACCCCCCGCCCCAGGAGACCTGCGCGGACCACGTCTGGCGGTATTTCACCAAACGGCGGCAATTCGCCCTCCTCCTCACCCCCGCCGACATCGGCCTTTTATGGGAAGTAGCCCCCTCAGGCTGGGTCACACGAAAACCCATGTCCTTCCCCGGCGGAGGAATCGTGGAACGCGACGCTGTAGGCCAGATCCTGAACCAGGGAGATGGGCGAGAAGGCGTCGTCGTCGCTTGGCCCGTGACGTGGAACGGCCTCCATCTCCTGCTGGACGTCTTCCGGGCTTTTATCGCCAAGCACGACCAGCAGGCGGGGAGGAGGACCTTACCCCCGAACATGAGCACGAGTACGAAGATGGACGAGAGGCGGAAAGCGAGAATCGTCAACCTTGAACTTGAGGAAATACAGGTCGACACCGGTACTGAGGAGCCAGAGCTGGTCGGCACTGCTCTGGACCTCGTTGCTGCTCTCTTACGGGCCAAACCGTCCCTGGCGGGGGAAGTTGACTCCCTCTTCTCCCCTCTGGATAAGACGCCCCACCCGTTCCTGGAACTGGGGCTGAAGCTGCTCGAGCTGGTTTTCCTGCGTACGAACCCCCGCGCTCCGCCCCCGCTGCGCCTTGTCATCCCCCTGCTGGAGATACTCGCTTCTGCTGCTGAAAGCCCGTCGATGGCTTTGAGGCTAGGGGCGTACCTCCGATCAGCGGCGGTGTTCGCTCCAGGGAACGCCTTTTCCCGCCTTGTAGCCAGTGAGCAGGTCACAGGCTCCTACGCTGGGATGCTAGTCCTCATCCGCCTTGTCTCCTCCCTCCTTACCGACGCTAGGCAGCAGCAGTTCGCCACTCCCGACCCGGCGACGCACGCGCTCAAAGCGGAAGTCTTACTCCAAGCCACCACGTTCCTCTTCCGCGACGTCTGGAGCTCGTTCTTAGGCTGGCGGTATACCTCGCTCAATGAACGACTTGTTCTTGCCCAGAGGTGTATGGACCTCTTTCTAAGTATACTCCAGGACTGGGCGTTCGCACCTCTCGAACCTTCGGCAACTTCGCCCTACCGGCAAGTAGTGTACAGCATCACTTCTACGCTTCTGAGCAACCAGGCGGCCATCACCCCCCTCACGGCTATACTCGTTTCTGCCCCGGAGACGATGCTCAGCCTCGCCAAAGCGAAACGCTCCCTCGACCGTGAGCTGCTGGCGGGGGTCGTCGAACGCGCACTCCGGCTTCTGCAGCTCGCGCTCCTCCGGAAACCGCAATTACAGGACGGGCTCACCCCGCTCGAGAATGCTATCTTCAGCTCTGGACCTGAGCCCCGCACCGTCTCGAGTCTCCGGTCCCGCCCGGTGGCGGGAGGGATGATCCAGCTGCTCTTTGACTACGTCACTACTTCCTCCCCTTCTAGCTCTGTGCAAGTCCAGGCGGCTAGGGTGTTATACCTCCTCTGCCGATCAATCGGCCCTTCCTCCTCTTCCCCCTCGTTCGTGGGCGCGCTAGACGACCCCGTCGGAACCGTGAACACGCTCGTACAAGACGTTTTGCAGAATCCGATGGTTCCCATCCCCCTGCGTACCGCGGTTTGGGACTTTGCGGCCGCGACGATCGATACGAAGCAGGCTGTGGGGAGTATATTCCTCACAGGGAGCTTGCCTATCGGGCTTGGGATGTCGGAGAAAGCGAGGGGGAAGCGGGCTGAGCGCCCCGGGAGCACTGGCCCTGCTTCTGCGTCTGCTTCTGCCGTGTCTGCTGCGATCGCGCTGGTCAAAGGTTGGGAGAAGCAGGTTGATGATGACTGCAGCGTCACACTCGCTGCGTTGAACTTCCTGGACGTGTGTTGGCGGCAGTATACCCAATATAGCGACGCCCTGGACGAACATAGGAAAGATGGTGCTCTATGGAAGACCCTCGCCGCTATCGCCATGCAGAACATTGGCCCGGACGTCAACGTAGACAAGTTCGATCTTCACTTTACTGTTACGAGAAAATATTGCAGTTCGCTGGACGAGGACGTGGCACGGCATTCGGATCGGTTGCTTCTCCAAGCACATGCTGTACATCTACTTTCCCTTGATATGGCCGTAGAGTCGGAGAAATTCGTCCCCGGAGAGCCACGGACGTCACCTGAAAGTTTCAAGAATGTGGAAGATATCTTAGGAGAAACGAAGAAAGCCACCGAGGTCCTCTCCAAAGCGATCGAGAGTCCCTATTCTCCCGCTTTCATGGCAGGTGTTGCCAGGGATCTCAAGCCTTTTAGTGGATTTGACACGGATTTGTTACGCTGCCCACCTGTTGCTGAAGGCCGTCAAGGGGGAGACGAGTACTTGTATTCTTTGGAAGAAGTGTTCACCAAACTCCGTGGTTTCTCCCTCGGAGACAATCAGGTTGCACTGGCACTGAAGCGTGCTTGTGCTCTTAACCTCACGTGGTCTCTCCTCGATCGTCACGTTGCGTTAACGCGCTCTTGGCAAGCCCTGTTCGAAGCTGCAACACCGTGGATATCGACACTACCGACTCTGCGCCCAGCTCTGATCAGTAGCGTAGCTTCTCTCGCTGCTGTGATAGCTGCTGAACAGCGGGATGGCAATACTATGGTTGCTGTACACTCTACTCGTATCGCGCTTCTCCAGGCCATCATCGGAAGCATTGGCATACCAACCAACCTCCCTGCTATTGTACAGACAGATCTGTATGGCTTGATGGGGAGCATCCGCACGCTCGTAGTGCACGAACACTTCTCTCCCTTGGATTCGTTCAGAGGTCGGGTGACCCCTGCGTTCCATCGGCCACTGCTGCAAATCGTTCAATGGTGTGGTCGGTTGCTTGCCACCCGCGACGCGGTCAAAACGCGAACAGCCCAGCAATGGACCACTGTGTCATCCGCTATGACGGCCATTCTAGAATTCCTTGTACCCGCGTTGCGTAGTGTGTTCGCCGATGCGGTCGCCCAACCGACTGAACAGCCCAGTGCGGATTTGGAACTCCTTGTGACCATGTTCGATCGCTGTACAAAACCAGAGTTGCACCCGGTGCCCGCCCTTTGGCTCTCATTGTGCGACGATGCGGATCTTATTCGCATCAGTCTCGAGGTGCTCGCGTTGACCGATATCGGCAGGACCAATAAGAACCCAAGTCGTCAGCTTCTGCATGCAGGATATGCCAACCATGTGCTTACATTCCATATGGCCTTGACCAAGGCTGCGCTTTCCGCTGAATCTTTGGCCCGAGCCGGTGTACTCAGTGTGTACACTGAGAACTGTCTGACTCCTATGCTTGAACACGGTGATGTTTTGCCGAGAGATCCGGATACGAACGGTCGCAGCATGGCCCATGAAGTATGGTGCATGATGTTGTCTATTACGACTGCCCTTTTGGGCATAAGCTCGCTTACATCGGACCTCCTGGAAGCGAAGGTTGTCATGCTTGTCCAGTCTTATGGTCGGCAACTCACCGGTGCCCTGGGTTGGAAGGTGGAAGAAAGCCTGAGCTTGCCATTGCTGGAAGAACTAGAACGAACGGTCGCCTTCTTTTACACAATGTCTGTTCGTTCTTCGACAGAACAGGAACTCTCCAGCCCTACCTGGGCGCTGCTTTCGGTTTACAGCGAGAAGGCGTTGAACCTGTTACAGCAACTCAACTATGCCGTCACACATCCGAACCACACTCTCTCGCTTCTTGAGCCCTTCTCACAGGAAGAGCACGCCTTCTTCGAGCAAGACGAGCAGATCGGCGCTTCTCGTTCTTCTGCAGACACGATCGACCCCGCGAAGCGTCCAGCCCTTGCCGCACTCATGCAACGTCTCTTCCTTATCAGTCGGGACATTATGTCATCCATGACTGCCCTTTCACGTCCGGATGCCGTGATTCGCTCTGCGGAAATGGACGAGTGGTGGATACCTGCCAAGGTCCACGCGCCGGCTCAGGTACGCCCTTTCATTATCCACTGTAGTTCGATACTAACAGACGGGTAGACCGCTGCGGTGTCGATTGATGAGCCTGCCTCCATCGGCACTCTCCTCGAGCTGGGCAACGTCGCGCGGGACACCTTAGCTGCTATCACATCCTTCTCCAGCAGCAATATCTCCAACAAACCCGTCTCATCATGCACTGTCTCGTGTCCGACATTTGACAAGATCTTATGTACACAAGCGCTGAGGGAGACGCTTGAGATGCTTCTGCTGTACATCACCGCTGAGATCACGCGCGGAATTTACTTTGGACAAGAGGTGGACACCTCTCTGGCAGGAGAAGATCCAGACGCATCGACCACAAGTCGAAGGCCCAAAGGCGCGGCAACCAGCGACCCAGCCCAACGGGCACTGCGTGGCGAACTACTCGCGGAGCTTAAGGAGCTGTTGAGTAAGGCTGGGGTGCTGTTCGAAAAGATGGACGGGCCCGGGAAGAAGGGTGGGATCACCAGTGTTCTCGACGCACATATGCAAAAGAAGCTTGGGAATGTCGCTGCTTAGAGACAAGCTCGTAGTGTGACTTACGCGATTTCATCGTTTGTGTAGCAATAGGATAGCATAATACCCCATTTTGCATCTAATGACCAACAATACCGCCCGTTCCCGCAAGCGCTCAGGCTTCTCAAACATTCCGTGAGGGATTGGAAGCCCAAGATCACCGATTTGCACTCCCGGTCCGCTGTTTGAGTTCAAGCAAACTCGAAGTTGCATAATGTGTGAGCGCCTATTAAGGGGGTGCTTGGCTGGAATATTTCTCATGTCAGACACGGAGCTGTCAAAAACTGTGACAAGTCATGAGTTTCCTTTGCCTGCTTTCCCGGACGCTCTCCCCAGATTGCACATCAATCTCTTCTGCTCCTGAAGGACTCATGAACGCAGGGGGTCCGAGGCCGAACGGTCGGCGCGGGTGCAGATGCGGATCGATCTGATGGATCAGATTGTACAAGAAGAATCGATGGCCACGCGCTGTGAGTGTTAGTGCCGAAGGGGAACACATGGTTAGAGAGATGTGAAACGGTGGCCACAATGAACTGCATTTATGAAATACAGTCCAGGTTTGTTGTCCTGCGTAGAGTATAGAAATCTCGGATAGCCGACTAAGTTTGGGGAGCGGGCCGAGCATGGTGAACGCAGGGACTGTTGGGTGCTTGCCTCATGTACGAAAATAACAACTTGGCCCATAGAAATCCTGCTCAGGACCAAAAGGGGAAGATATCTATTCCCAGCTGTTGGGGAAAGTGTTTCGCCGGAACACAGAAGTTTGAGGAAAAAAGAAAGGCACCGGGACCGGCGTGGACGCCCTCCACGCTGGAAGACGAGTTCCGGATCTTTGTTTCACCTGGATGTTGCCCTTGGCTTGATACGGTTCAATAAGCGCAATACCAGTGTGAGAATTCTTCGCATAGTCCGGAACGGCACGGCGGCCGAATCCGGGTCTACCGGTCAATATTCATGCTAGATCGAGCAACCGAGGCCCAGACAGTCGGGCGCACGGCGAACACGCTGCATGGGCAGCTTTCCTCGCGTAGTTCGTTTCCCCACCCGGATGGAAGCCCACCGAGGTCTGCTGAGTCAATCAAGAGTAGGGAGATGACCATAATCGTTGTATTCCTACCCCGCTCGAAGAAAGGCACCTCCTCTCTGCTGTCCGGCTAGTGCTGGCACAAGAGCCGGGGACGTGGCGTCACACACTTGTTCGCAGGTGATCTGCTCGTCTATCTGTGACGAACCAGGTGCCAGATGGCAATTGATGACGATATTGATGATGGGTGAGGCAGTGCGATCGCCCCATTGAATCTGCGTGCCGAACTGGTTTCTCGTGAGAGGGATGTTGCAACTATTGACGTGGGAGCGGGAAGGAACGGAAATGGAGAAGGTAGAATGACATGCCAGGGCTGTCCTACGCGCTATGGAAGGAGGCTCGGAGAGTTACAGCACAAAAGTTGTTGGCGGTGTTCCTTCGCGCTGGGCTCATTGTGCCACAATGTCCAGGTATGTAGTAGAACTTTAGAGAGATAATTATGTCAGTCAGCACGCGTATCTTGCCACCTGTTGCGATTGATAGTTGGAGAACAAAAAGAGAGAATAGCAGAAGTAGTAGAAGATGTAAAAAGGAGTGGACCGGGTCGTAAAGCAACTCAGCTCGGCATCTGGCCGGTTTGGGTAAGGACCCGTGCAGTGTGGCGCAGCGCGCGCACTCCAGGGGCGGGGCCGTCTCTGATTGGTTGACGCCATGCTTCTTCTCTTGCGGAAAGTTGCGTTTGTACCCCTGCGTGAGCACAGGGCCACGCCCTACCCCGTCCATCTTGTCCCCTTACTGCCAACTCCGGCACGACGCCGAGGGAGGAAAAAAAGAAGCAAAACAGGTCAGTAGAGAACCCAGGCGTCACAGGCGCTTGGAGACTATTATCTTCCCTTAGATTGGGAACCACACATCCACCCCGTCAGTTACCTGGGCCAGCCTTTCATCACCACCGCCCGATTCGTTTGCCGATTCCTCTTGCACAGATTGTCGATTTCTCCCGCAAGCCTGGGGCGAAATCCCAAGGGGTGAATATAATGCAGGCTTGGACACCCTGGTGCATGTTGCCATCTCCCTCTGACGTTCTCTTGCCTCCAAGTGGGTCTTTTACAACCACTAACTACCTTTCCTCGAGTCAATAGCCTCCACGACATACCCTCAAAAAATCTAACGCTAACGATTTATCATTTCCTGGCCACCCTTTGCCCCCCCCTCTGGCAAACAGGAGCGCACGACACCGCGGAGCACCTCCCACCGCCTCACGACGCGTATCTACATCTGGACGACATAATCCCGCATAGCGCCAAAGAGGAGTCACCCTGTCCACACGGTGCACACGCGGTCGACGTACGCACAAAAGCATCACTGCGGCTACCTATAAAGCCACGCCCGTTCGGTCACAACACCCAACACACTTTCTTCCCCGGAAAAGAAACGCCGATGTCGGAATTGACTCGGGCAGCATTCTACGTCTACAATACTTTCAAGCGCGAGTGGGTCGTATGGGAGCGCTCAGCTCAGCCACCAGGTCACGTCTGGAATTGGCCTAATCCAGCCCAGCGCAACTTCACCGCTCTCACTTGGAACGTCTCATGCGACCCGGCATTCGCGGTCGCTCGCGCACATTCATTGATGTCCCGGTTCGTCGCTATCGGACCTGATATCGCCGGAATGCAGGAAGTGAGCGGGTGCTCTGAAGATGACGCTGGAGCACCTGGCTATCGTGGGCGCGGGTTCTGGGATGTTTTGCATGAGAACGCCTTCGTCCGCAGAGAATACATCATCACCATGATTGAGGAGCAGAATGTACGCATGTTCGATGGAGACGCACCCTACGGTTCTATCCTGCTACTTCGCCGCACATTCATCTCCATCATACCGCAAGTAGTGCCCTGGTACTGCGCTCTGGAGAGCAGGGACTACTCCAACCTCGTCGGTGTAGACCTGTGCGACATTAGTGGTCAACCCTGGTTCAGTATCGCCACAGGTCAGTTTGAGGCTTCTCCACAGGAGCCAGACGGGCACGGCGCAGGTGCAGATGCAGAATATGCGAAGCTTTCGCGCGCCGCGCAGTTTCACTACATCTCCCGACGCGGTGGCGCGCTGGGCAGAGCCATGGGCTTCAACGCTCTCTTGCTGGCGGATCTGAGTATCCGCTCGCTCGAAGAAACCCAGGTTTTCCAACAAGCAGGGTTCACCGATGTGTACCGTGCCGCGAACCCGGCGCAGAACCCGAACGAAGGTGCGACGATCGGTGGTTTGAGCATGCAGCTCGTAGGTTTCCCACCGCAAAACGAAGAGAGGAGAAGACAGGACTTTATCTTTGCAAAGGGAGAGTGGCTTACTGGGGCCACAGCCGAGCTTATAGGCTCAACCCCGCTCCGCCCAGGATCGTATGGAGAAAATCTCGTGGATGCAATGGGCAGACCACTGAGGGTGTGGCCTAGCACTCATAAGGGAGTTGTTTCGAGGATGTTGGTGGGCCAACAAGAGCAAGACGAGGGCAGGCAAGGCCCAGCGCCTGGGAAACGAGCACGGATACACTGAGATGAGCTATGGTGGGGCGGGAGATAGTGGAGGATGCATTGCCTTGCTGGCACACGTCGATGGTGAGCGTGGCACGGAGGGGAACGGAGGGGAACGGTGCCGACTGCTCGAGGATGCAGGACCGTTCTTACGACCGAAGACTTCTTTACCCTTTACCCCGGTACAGATACCCCTTTCACACTACTGATGACCAACTCCAATATGAATTCCTACATTGCCCCGCTGTGGGAAAATTACAACGCCATGCTCCGTCTCCTAGTGTCGGAGGTGTTGTGACCTCATGCCCGATTGCGATTCCTCCACGGTCCAGTAGCTGCCCTCAAATGAACGTGTGGCAGCTTGGCGACTCCCCTGTTGTCCTCCGAATCCGGGCCGGACAAAGGCATCAAGATCCGTACTTCGAGCTCCGAATGTCAATCGCGGCGTGCAATTCACTCTTTCCGGCGTCGACCGTTGTGAATGTGCGCAGCATACTCGTGATCCTTGGCCACCCTCGTCATTTTACATCGCTGCCCAGGCGTGACAAAGGGGCTAAGCGAATCTCCGACACAAAGGCGCGAAGATGAGGCGAGCAATTGAATACGAACCGGTGTCTAATTAAATTGGACCTGGCCGCGGAGACTTCGCGGGCGCGATTCGAAGCTGCTTCGTTGGGCGCTTCTGTTGCTTCTAAGCCTTGTGGCGTAGTTGAACGGAAACTCTCGGAATTTCGTCACTTTGGGAACGGCCGATCTTTACGCGATGTCCGTCGCTGAAAGGGTCCGCTTTGCAACAAACATTACTTTTTTTTGTTACTATTGTTATCCCTTGTAAGACTATTAGACTGCAAGGGGGATGTCCACCCTCCTCCTGCATCCACCTCGCACTCTCCCCATCACACCAGCACTCCGCAGTCTAGGAAATGCACAGATAGCACAACGTCGGTCATTTCTATCCCTCTCCGACCTCGCAAAGGTCGCTGCATCAGCCGGGCGTGGAGAACAAGAGGACGTGCAAACATATCACGAGCGCAAGGTCCTCCCGTGCGTCCTTTCTCCCCAACTCTGGTCTACGTGAAGCATGACGACAACCGGGTAGATATGATCGCCGTCAACTGTATGCCTTGGTAGCGGACATCCCTTCCTATCCCCAGTTCATCCCCTACTGTGTTGGGGCACGTATCCTCTCCGGTCCTACATACCGCCCGTTAGCACGTACGCTCCCCGATGGTGCTAGAGATTTGGGAGCAGGGTCTGGTATCAGTTCATCCAAGGCGGATGAGATGGAGATGGAGTGCGACGCCGAGCTCGAAGTCGGGTTCATGGGTGTGAAAGAGCAGTACGTGAGCAGGGTAATTGGTCGACCGTACGAGCTGGTGCAGGTAAAGCCCGTGAAGAATATGTATAATTCCGAGCTTGCTGATCGTTTTTGCTAGGCGACCGCAACCTCCCAGATCCCTCTGTTCAAGTCACTCGTTACGACATGGTCTTTCTCCTCCTCCTCCCCTTCACACCCCAACACCCCAACACCCGCCCCCGTCGCAGATCCGCTCACAGGCCCGACACTCCTCACCATCGACCTCTCTTATAGCTTTTCCAACCCACTGCATGCCGTGCTTGCAAAGGCGTTCTTCGATAAGGTTAGTGGGAAGATGGTGCAGGCATTCGAGAGGCGGTGTGGAGAGGTTTATGGGCCTGGAACAGTATGAGCTGTGAGCTGGAGCCATCCTGCGATGGGAGAAGGGCGATAGAGCATGCAGGACATAATATTACTCTATTTGCTACTTCTTTATAGTTTAGAATACAGTGCCGGAGAACACAATCCGAAGTGTGAAAACAACCACCAGCAACCCGGAGTAGAATTACACAACCCATATCGACGCAACCCCATAGCTTATGAATAGACACTCTATAGGAAGTACTCTGCTGGCGGACGTTTAGCAGGTACGGAGTAAGATTCGATAGCGGCGTGGGTGAAGATTTTGTACTCCTGGTCCAGGTTCTCGTGCAGCGACATTATGCTCGCTACGTTCCCGCAACGGTAGCAGTAGTTAGGCGCGCTCCAGACAGTAACGATCCGTTTTTCGAACATGAGCTTGTAGCCCTCCATAGCGAGCTGGTGTGCGCGCGCGATCAGGTCGACGTCGTTACTGTGACAGAAGGTGCGGACGACGTCTGCTCCAAAGAGGAAGCCTGCACCACGCGGTGACAGGCCCCAACCAGCGATATCGTCCGGGTCTGACCAGAGTAAGTCACACATCCCCCCATCGTGCGGGACTTCCATCTTCCGGTCTATCGCGCGGATCGTGTCCAGATACTGGATGCTGGGGGATAAACCTCCATGTACGCAGAAGATGCGGCCGTCGACCAGCGCCCCGAGGGCAAGGTAGTCGAACACGTCACAGCAGTAGCGCCAGACGGTCGCGGACCCATACTTGCGTGTGCACTCGTCGTAGAAGCCGTAAACTTGTGTGATCTGACGGGACTCGTGGTTCCCTCGAATTAGGGTCATGCGGTCTGGATACCGGACTTTCAAGGCGAGGAGTAGGAGAAAGGTCTCGACGCTGTAGAACCCTCGGTCGACAAAGTCGCCTGTCACTATGTCAGCCAACCATCCTATGCATCCAGCATCACGCATACCCATGAAGATATACTTGGTGTCTGGACACCACCCGCCGATGAAGAACAGTTCGAGCATGTCAAAGAACTGCCCATGTATGTCTCCGCAGACTGTTACTGGCGAGTCAACATAGACGACGTTGCCCTCCTCGATGAGCAACTCGCGCGCTTTGAGGCATAGAAGTCGTACTTCTGGCTCGGGGAGGATTTCGCATCGTTTGAGCTGCTCGATCTGCCTGTTGTTTGTAATGAGTAAGGACGTGTATGCGGTATACAACGAAGAACGCACCGATCGAGGTCGTCCATGCTACTCCTCACTTCAATTCCACAGTGTTCTTCCTAGACTTTACTTGTTTCTATCGTAATACCCAGCGAAATGATAAGTATATGCACTAGTTTGGGTGTCGGTAGTGATTGTCGTCGTCGTCGGGTCGTGTGCGCTGTCGGTCCCTGAAAGTTGGGCGCTATTCCTCCTGACATCCTGCTCGCAAAGGCGGCCACTGCGTCCAAGATGGCGCCCGCGCCTACATCCTCATCTCCAGCGCTAGATCCACAGATATACAGCCGCATACAGCCGCATGCCTATCTCTCTCGCTTCCTCGAATCCTCATACAGGCTGGACGGGCGCGCTCCGTCCTCTTCCCGTCCTGTGCAGCTCAACCTAGGCGCCATCTCCACCGCCGATGGCAGCGCCCTAGTAAGACTAGGAGAAACTACCGTTGTCTGCGGCGTCAAGGCCGAACTTGCAGAGCCCGACGCGGCAGGAGGTGCGGGGAAGGGCAAGAGGGGATGGTTGGTGCCAAACTTGGATTTACCGGCCATATGTGGACCGAAGTATAGGCCTGGGCCGCCAGGGGATGAGGCGCAGGTATGCAGTGAGAGACTGTATGAGCTCCTTGTTGGGTGTGTACTCTTCCCTGTCCTGTTCTATCACAGGATAACTGACGCCGTCGTAGAGAAGGAGTGGTCGACCTGGAGGCGCTCTGTATCGAACCCGGCAAATCTGCGTGGGTGCTCTACCTGGACCTCGTCTGCATAAACCACGACGGGAACGCCTTTGACGCCAGTGTGCTCGCCTGCCTAGCCGCGCTGAGGAACAGTATGTCCCCTCTCTGAACTTTGTACCTCCCTACTGATGCGCTGTGTAGCTACATTACCCAAAGCGCACTGGGATGAGGACAAGAAGCGAGTCATCTGTTCGCAGGAAGAACGAGTTCCGTTCAAAGTCCAGAACCACCGAATCCCACTAACGTTTGGGGTCTTCTCCGGGTCCGTGCATTGTCCCTCTATGTACTGTGCTCATTGCAGAGCAGGCAACATCTACTAGCCGATCCCTCCGCATTCGAAGAGCCCTTGCTGGATACACTCATCACAATATCGGTAGGTGATTCCGGACGCGTAGGGGTCAACGTCGCTGGTCCTGCTGGGCTAGAAGATGCAAAAAAGCCGGGGATGGCAGATGGTATAAAAGTTGTGGGCGAGTGCGTGGCGATGGCAAGAAAGAGACGGAAGGAGCTCATGGAAGTATTAGAGGGCACATAGGCGTTCTTAATTCATCTACGATCGATATCGATACATCCATCCCTTGCGAGCTTGCTCACTCGGCCCCGCAGGGCGCTCTAGCTGCAAAATGAGGGAGCATGGTCAACTACTTTCCCTCCATAGCCGCTACGAGCTTTTGTGCCTCCTGGACCTGCTCTGTCCATTTGTACTTGGGCTTGAACCCGAGCAGCTTCTTGCCTTTCTCGATACTGAGCACAGTCTGGTTCGGCCCCAGTCCAGGTACAGGCGTATACTTGACGTTGGGGAAGACCTTTGCGCAGAGCTCAGCCGAGGGGGCTTCCATGACGGTCTCCTCGTTCGCGACGAGGAACTCGTGGTGCCCCTTGAGGGGGGAGGAGATACACAGCTCAACAAACTGGCCCCCGTCACGCCCATCGATGTAGCCCCAGGCGTTCCACTTGCGCAGGAAGGGATCATGTTGCCAGGTATGGAAGCGGACATAGTCTTCCCGTGACATGACCTGCGTTTGATGAGGGACCCACACCGAGGACGGAAAGGCGGTGTATAACTCACGTTAGAGAAACGAAGGGAGAAGACGCTCAGCTCTGGGTCCCACCGAGCATACTGGTCAGCCATGACCTCGCCCACGAGCTTGCTGAGCGAGTACGCGCTCTCCGGCCTACGCTCGCTTTCCTCCGTTATGGGCAAGCTGGCTGGATGATGCGGGTCAAAGGGAAGTCCGATGAGCGTCTCGCTCGACGCTAGGACGACTTTCTTGATCCCGAGCTTGCGAGAGGCTTCGAGGATGTTGTAGGTCGCCATGGCGTTGTTCCCAAAGAGATGGGAGTTGGCGGACATGCCCGCTGCGGGGATGGCAGCGAGGTGCACGACGGCGTCTACGCCTTTGTAGGACTAGGATAGGAAGCGCATGCACCGTCAGCTGAGGAGAAACGAGGAGGGGAGTAGACGCACGCCGTCGATCTCGGAAAGACACTCCATCACCTGACCCATATCGGTCAAGTCGGCATAGACATACTTGACGCCTACGGGGGCAACGCCCTTCGCCGGTGCGAACTTGTCGACATTCACGACGATATAACCTGCCTCCACGAGCTGTGGGACATCGTGGTCAAGGCGCTGCACGGTCCGTGAAGCAGTAGACGCACGTAGATGACGACCTCCTTGCCCAGCTTGCCACTCCCGCCGGTGACGATGACCCTCTTCTGAGTGCGTGCAGGTTTACTCTGCGCCTCTCCAAGGGCATGCTTGTCGGTAAATGATCCAGCTACCATTTCTATCCACGTGTAAGGTGTGAGTTAAGCAGGGTGCTTGCTGCAGCTGGTAGGGGTCGTGTAAGATGGAAGGGCCATTGCCAGCTTGGCGGTAGGTTTATATAGCGAGTTCCGACTGGCTGATGGGGTGAAAGACAGGCCCGCGCCGTCCATCCGTCGGGGAACGTCCACCGGAGTAAGCTGCCTATTCAGTGTATGTGTGCCTCCACCGCCAACGACAGGGACCGTGGAGGCTTCGGGGAATCCTCACGGTAACCTTGCCGATGGGAGTACATCAGAGAATGATTGTAACATTAGAGTCTACAAGTATAGAGCGTAGTCACCGCACCGCAATGACAGGCGACGCAAGGCTGGCCGACTTCTTTCCGAGAGGATAATACCGAGCGTGATGCAGCATCTTCCTCATATTTCCCCACTTGTCACTATTCTGCGGGCCCGTGAGCCACTCACCATTATTCACGCACAAGATCCTCATCCGCTTATGGTACTTCAGATCTGGGAGCAGCTTGGGCGTGATGAGGAAATACTGCATCGCGCCCTCGGCACAGGTGACTTCGACGAGGTTGTTGTGCACTGCGCGCTCGTATCGCTGGTCCATTCCTTGGTTGATCTCGTCAACGAGGGAGAAGGGTGCGCGGGCGAGCTCGGTCAGACTCATCAGATAGAGGATCGTACAGAGTGCCCGTTCCTGTTAGCAGTCAGAGAACTGTCTCCCGAGAATTGAACGTGCCTACCCCTCCTGACTGACGATGTGCAGTCAATAGTTGCAGCTGTTCATTATCCCGGAACTTGACCCAGATTTCGATCCTCCACTTGGCGTAATCGTGCTCGTCCTTTCCGATCTTGACCTCTCCAACACATTGCACGCCTGTACCAGTCAGCCTTCATAACTTGCAGAAACATAGTACCTACGTGCGAAAGCGTCAGAGAACTTCTCGTTGATGTTGAAGATAAGTTGCTCCAGCGCAGGCAACCACTTCTCCTCCGTCCCCTTGATCTTCTTTGTATACTTTCCCTGTGACCTCTCCTTCTCAGCAATGAGCCGGCGTTTGCGTTCCGCTTCCGCCTTTTGCTCTTCGTACTTGCGGATCAAGCTCGGGTTGACGGCCATGTTGAGCTGGAATCGCGCACGCTCCGCTTCAAGCTGTTGCTCGAGGTCGTCTAGGTCGATCGATCCACCAGCCTGCATCGAGCGTCAAGTGCTGACAAGACACGCTAATCCAGGGTACTTACATCTTTATTCTGCTGGAAGGCATCCTTGATATCATCATCCGCCTCTTTCAGTTTTGCTCGCGATGTATTGAGGAAGTCAGTCGCCCGCTGCTTGCACCGCTTGAATTGCTCGTCGACTGAGAACAGGATTAACAGGTGAAACTGCAAAGGCCGAAGATTTCTTACTTTCGCGATACGCCGCTTCTGCCTCTTTCCGCGCCTCACCCTGCTCGGAACCGAGCTGGACAAGGTAGGCGATATTGCTCGCCAGCTGCATACTCTCCAGACCAAGCTCGGTAACGTCGGCGTACTTCTCAATCAACTCCGCCATGCCATTCTGTAAGGATACAGAGGAGTATAAGTAGCTGCACTGGAAACACATTGATGACTGACCGTGTACCCAATGCCAAGTCTTGTGCGTTCGCGTGCATTTTCAAGCAACTCTGCCCTCAACTCACTGCGCTCTTGATCCGCAGAAGGAGCATTCTCCTCGCCAAGCAATTTATTCTTTACAATGGCTTCGGAACAGTCAGTCAAATCACGGCAGGAGCCTGAAAACATCGCCTACTCAGTTTTGACCCATGGCTTCGGAAAGCGGCTTCATTCTGCTTGATCTTCTCCCTCTCTCTATCTAGTTCATCCTGCGATGCGAGGTTATTTCAGCCATGATTCGAGCCCGTGCGCTGCTCACTTTGCGATCCTTAATTCCCTTCTCCATCCCTTTGATCCTTTGATCCTCCTGCTGCAACTCGACGTCCGTCGCTTCCATATCTGTCAGAGATTGCGTTGCCATTGCTCGCTTCTCAATCAACTCGTTCTTGTAGTTTTGATCCACTACAAATGGTTAAGGCACATGTTCATTCTTTTCTGTAATTGCTAACCAACCTGCAACATTGTTCAAGTTCCTGCCGGGCCGAAGATCCCTCGTTTGCTGTTGCACTAAACGTTTTCCGTACGCGGAACGGCTGACAGTGTAAGAAACACGTCCTGCAATAAAAGTCGCCGGAGGCACAGTCCCAGTTTGCCCGGGAATTTGAGCGCTGACCGCATCAGCAGCTGCCCTGTTGTCGATTTGCGATGCGTCGAGTCCAATGAGCTAGAAAAGACATCAGACATGCACGGGAGGATGAGGACGTTCTTACTGTTCTGTGCATGTTCAGTTCACGTCTGAGATACCAATGCATTGCATCGGGCGCCTCAACAAAGTTGATGGCATATCCGTCGAACCCGAAGTGTTGTACCTGCATAGGCTTAGTATAAAATACGTAAAATAATGTATATCACCCACCTCCTCAAGAGACAATGGCGGCGGCAACAGTTTAGCCTGGTTACGGGGGCGATGCCAGGTATTGATACGAGCCTTCCTTCCCAAGGCTCTGTCAGTGTCATTGACAAGTTGGTTCAGCGTCTTGAAATCTTGCTCGGTTTGACAAACAAATGTCTGGAGGCAGTTAGACGTATCTCTATGTCTCGTCTACAAAAACTGACCTTTAACTGATTCACGTTAAAGCAACTTTCAACGGCATCAAGATACTTGTTGTCCGGAACAGTCAGCGAGATGATCGCGGGTTCAACAACTTCCATCTCAAACTTGTCCAGGTTTGTCCGCAGCCATCTCACAGCATCGGCACAATCTTTGTCGAATCTTTCAAGATTTCTCAGTCGCACCTCTGATCGATTGTCGAGCTCCTTAAGTCTAATGAAGAGTGAGACGCGGATGGCTCATTTCATTCATTTACTCACAGTTCAGAGGCTCTCTCTTTCTCTGCGACGAAAACAGCTTTCTCCTCTTCAAATGCTCGATATCGTTGCTGGTATTTTGCCTTTTCCTCATTGAAACCGGGAAGCTCGTCTTGCAGGGCCCGCTAAAGCTGGTGTTAATGGACACCAAAGTCAGATGTACATTCTCACCCTCTTCTGCTTATTCTCCTCTAACGGTGTCTGAAAGTCGGGGGGATCTGCCAATATTTGTTCATATCTTGCTATCTCGGCCTTAAGTTTCTTGATTCGCTCCTTCCTCTCTTTTTCATTCTTCCGGATGATGGCCACTCGACTTCGCTTCTCGTCGGCTTTATCCGCCTGTGGGACTATGAGAATGTAGCGTACGTGAAATATGTGATTATCTCACCAGTTTCATGCTCTCTTCGTGCAGCTTCTTGGTGGCACTGTACATTTTCCTAGCCTCATCCTCCATTTTCTTCTTCTTCGTCTCCACCTTCCTCTTCCGTTCTTCTTGCTCACTACACAGAATCACATAAGACAGTTCATTGCTATATTGCCCACAACTTACGCCTTAAAAACATTGAGAGGATCATTTCGCTCGAGGAGCGGAGCCAGAACTCTGGATTGGCGATTTCGTTCCTCTTTCAACTCGTCGTATTTAGCTTTCTCTTGGGCATATGCCGCGAAGGGGATTTGCAACTCCAGGAGTGCGATCTTGTTCGGTTCAGTAGCGTTTCCCGTGACACATCGGGGGTACTCACCTGTTTTTCGATCTCTCTTCTCTCTCGGAAGCGCGCCACATCACGCTCCAGCACACTGTTTCTCTGTTCTAAGTACTCTGCGTCTTTCTTCAACTCATCTGTTTCCTCCGTGATCTTCCTACGATCTTTTCCCATATCGATCAGCTGCTCGTGCCATCGTGTTAGGCCAGCTGCACCAGCCGCTTTCTGTGTTTCGATAAGGAGCTTCTCAGGCGTGAGCTGAGCAAATTCGCTGACGCGATCCTGCGGAAGGAAAGCGCTGCAACAAATTAGCGAACTGTGGAACACATGCAGAAAGAACAAGCGTACCAAAGATTGGCAACCTGCACATTCAGTTCCTCAACAGCGTCTTTCACCGCCTTGGCCGGGACATTTTTCCCATTGAGGAGGTATGTACTTGAATCGTTGTTGGAGACAAGGCCGCGACGAATAATCAGGTTTCCCTGTCCGGGTTTGCCTTTCAGTTCGATCTCGATCCATCCACTTTCAGCACCGTGTTTCACATACGAATGAACGCTACTAGACCGTCCCAAGAGCTAGAACCAATCACTTCCAGATCTACTCAGAAAGAGCACAGCAACGTACACTAGGTGAGAATCCCAGACCGATGGCAATAGCGGACGCGATAGAGCTCTTTCCAGTACCGTTCGGACCAAGAACCATATTGAGATATGGACAAGGTCGGAATTCGGTCGAGTCGTACGTCATGAAATTCTCGAGAGCAATCCTGACGATTGACCCAGGCACGTAACTTCCCATAATGCTATGAGATATGTTCACGATAAAGAGTCCGTGCACTCACCCGTCCCGATCTCTGACTGACGGCTCCCGCCGTACAAGCTTTTCCTCCTTCGAAACTCGACTCGATCCCTCTTTATCCAATCGCGCCCGTTTGCGCCGCGACAAACTTTCATCATCATCCTCGTCCGTCTTCACGACTGGATCTTCTTCTTGAGATCCTGATGGGCCAGCTTGAGCCTCCCCAGCATCATCGTCACTAGCGGCTTGCTCTGGTTCGTCGTCCTCCGTCCGCATGTCCACGCGGGAAGTGGCCCTCCCATTGACTCGGGAAGAAGTCCGTTGTTGTTTAGGCGGGACGTCGTCGACGTCGTCCGCTTCATCATCCGAACTTTGTGCACGACGGATCATGGGTAGATGTATGCACAGACTGACAGCACAAGACGAGAATTATGGCGCGTCAAAGGGACGCGATGAGTCGGAGACGCGTGCAATGCGCCGCCCAATTAGAAAAACCCTGTGCATCCGGGGTCCCTATGGTACGGACAGTGGGAAAGGACAGGACCCTAGATCGCTCTCAGACCCATCCTTCCAGCGAGACCCAGCCTCCTAATTATTATTTTATTTTTAGTTAGTAATCCAGTTTAAGCTCCACTTTAATTTAATTTTTTTGCATCCGTGTGCTTGTTATATGTTGCTTAGGAACCAGAACTCCAACAAAGGTTTTCCTCAACATAATATATAATCCACTTAGACATAATATCAACTTTTTGAACTACCTTTTTACAATATCTACTGTATTTACATGGTAGCACATTTTTTCACCTCCTCATCTGCAAACATTTACATCTTCTTCAATATTTCTCCATTCTAATCCTATTGTTCCATAGATGCATGGGCAACAACAAAAGCATATCAATTCAAGGCATCCAAAAAACATATAATCTAGTTCCCTACTGTTAGGGCAACACAGGCTGACTGAGTCTGCTCACCTAAGAGTGCCAAGAGTCTAAGCAGGCAACAAGGAAGTGGAGTAGACCTGATGACTAAGACCTATCTACAGTATAGGTACCTGTGGATGATCCTAA